GAGAGAGAGAGAGAGAGAGAGAGAGAGAGAGAGAGAGAGAGAGAGAGAGAGAGAGAGAGAGAGAGAGAGAGAGAGAGAGAGATCCGGTGCTATCAAGAAGCAACTCTCGTGGATCCTTGCGCATTCGGACTCGTTAGTACGGAGTGCGCTGCACACCATAGCCGTAGAGGTGAGCTCTGTTCATAAAGGCAAGGTGGCAGAAGATCTCAGAAGGCAGAACTAAGCAAACAGGCAAAACTCGATCAATCAACAAGTTACGCATAAGTAAGAGAGAGAGAGAGAGAGAGAGAGAGAGAGAGAGAGAGAGAGAGAGAGAGAGAGAGGTGCGAAAAGCGACAATGCGTTTCCGAGCTGTGTGTGCCTGTCTATCGGGCGGGCAGGAGCGGCAGGACAAATGGAAGGATCGTAAACATGTCCGAGGAAACGGTCATTCAGAGAAGCAAGAGTCGAGGCCATGTATGGAGGGAAGTGTGAGAGGGACCCAGCATTCAGAGCAGCAGCAAGTGCCAACCCCCCCAAGTACAAAAGATGTCAGACGAACCCGCCGCCATTCAGAGTGCGAAGTGTCGAACCCAAGTATGGAATCTGTTACGGTAACCAGCAATTCAGATCGCGAAGGATCAAGCCCAGATATGGGAAGTGTCACAGGCACCCGCCAGTCGGAGCAGCAAGACTTAGTGTGGAGGCCACATAATATGGAAGGTGTCAGAGAGACCCTCCATTTAGAGCAGCAAGCGCCACGACCAAGAACGGATTCTATGGAAGGTGTTAGACAAACCAGCCCGGCCCAGTTAGAGCAGCAAGAGTCAAGGCCAAGTATGGAGGTAGAGGAGTCTCAGGAGTACCCATTGTCAGCGTTTGATCGAAAGCGATATGCCACATTGGAGGACAATCCTGTAATAGGCATCGATCTGGGGACGTCCTACTGCAAAGTTGCTGTGTTTCGCAACAACATAGACGATATAGAGATCGTTCCGAATGAGCTTGGACAGACGATCACTCCCTCCTGCGTGGCATTCAGTAGGGAGGACGGCTGTCTGGTAGGGGATGCTGCAAAGAAACACGGCATGAAGAATCCGGAGGAGTGCATATTCGAGGTCAAGTGCCTCATGGGGCGATCATACCATGACGCAAGTGTCCAGCAGGACAAAAAGAAGTGGCCTTTCCACGTGTCATCAGGTCCAAATGGGGGAGTTGTTCTAGACCTTCCGGACGCACCGGGCAGGCCAAGCTTCTTCAGACCTGAAGAAATTTCGGCCTTTCTGCTGAAGAAGATGAAGGAGATCGCTGAGGAGTTCACCGGTTGCCGTCCGATCAGGGATGCGGTCATTACTGTGCCTGCGTGCTTCAATCACAGTCAGAGAAAGGCGACCATGGCTGCCGGGGTCGGCGCCGGATTGAACGTGTTGCGGCTGATGAGCGAAACCACAGCTGCAGCACTGGCGTACGGCCATCAGCATCTGATACGGACGGGGCCTGCGGAGAAGAACGTCCTGGTGTTCGACCTGGGTGGGGGAACCTTCGATGTGTCCATTGTCACAGTAAAGGCAGGGCCAGATGGGGACTGCAGCTTTGTAGTGAAGGCAGTGGCAGGGGACTCTCATCTGGGAGGTGCAGACATAGACCAACGCCTCGTTCAGCATGTGGCCGAGCACTTCAAGAAGCCGCTTCGCGGGGAGGATTTACTGGGCGAGGGATCAATTCCGCAAAAGCTGAACCAGGCCGTTGTAGACGCTAAGCATGCTCTATCCACAACTAAGGACGTTATCATGGCAGATATCAATTTGGGGTACCGTGACCATGTCCTGAGCTTGAAGCTGGGTCGCCTCGAGCTTGAGGCACTGAGCACAGACCTGTTCCACAAGTGCATGAGGCTCGTGGAACGAGCCCTTGGTGACGCCAAGGTCAGCAAGGACGAGATCTGTGACGTTGTGCTGGTGGGTGGATCGACGAGGATCCCCAAGGTGCAAGAGATGCTGACGGCATTCTTTGGCAAGCCGCCAATCAGCTCTGTCAATCCTGATGAGGCGGTGGCATTTGGAGCTGCAGTGCAGGCTGGCTTGCTGGCCAGAAGCCACAAGTGTGCGGAGGCAAGCATATCCGTTCAGGATGTCACATCCGTCAGTGTCGGAGTGGACTCAAGGTTCGACATTATGGATGTTCTTATCCCCAGAAACTCCCCCCTTCCGGCCATTGGAAGTACGGAGTATACACTACTCGACGACGAGGTGTCAGGAACCGTCGGATTGTATGAAGGTGAACGTGCTCTCTGTGCACACAACAGGTTTCTCGGGGAGCTCACTGTGGATGGCTTCACCCCTGGTCCGGCAAGAATGCAGAACGACGTCAGAGTCGTGCTCACAATAGATGCCAACGGGATTCTCCATGCCGCAGCCGAGATGCTCGCAAAGCACAAGGACGTTGGGAGAAAGGTTGAAACCCCGTTTACACTAGGAACTGGTGTTGTGACGTCTTTAGCCGATGGACTGGACACTAGAACGGATAGGTATACGCTAGAAGCGGAGGATGCCAACATCTGGGCGGCAAAGGACTCCATGCTCAGTCTATGCTCTCTAATTTTGTGGTTGCGAGCACAGCTGCATTCGTCCAAAGAAGATTGCCACACTGATCTGGAGCTGCAGCTGCGTTTGAATGAGGCCTGGGCATGGTGGGATGGCCATGAGGAACTCGCTACAAAGGAGGAGTACGATAGGAGAATAGCTGAGCTGGAACAGTATGCAGGTCTTGACTAAGTCCGACTCTTGTCGTGTGTACACCTTGTGTGATAACGCCGCGAGTCTATCTGATTCTTGCGTCTTTGTCGTATGTGGTCATTGTCACGAGTTATCTTTCTGTAACTACTTGTTTCATAATCCCTTGACTAAGTCTGACTTGAAAAAAAAAAAAAAAAAAAAAAAAAAAGAGGACGTACTAGGCGGCTTGCATCTGTTGTGCGCGAAGTTGTGGGGTCGGTAAATGCAAGCCTTCCTGGGGTTACCCCTTTGAGGTCACCGGCATAACTCAAATAAGCCCGTTAATTAAACCACCAGTACCATTCCCAGGCATTTTGCTGAATAGCGGCATACGGAGGCCCCAGGGGCCAGATGGGCCGCCAAAACTTGGTGCGGCAGTTCAATTGCAGGACTTGTTTTTTACCACCCATTGCTTGAAGTTGCCCAGGCTGCGGAGGCATTTCAGCCCTAATTCCTGCCATCACATCTGCTCAGGCTGCTGTCCTCCGAACTCGGCTGGTGTGAAGACTGTGCTGTATTCGAGTTCCGGGTGCCGGCCCCCAGCAATAGAAGGGTGTCTGCTCCTACCAAAACCACTACTAGACGTTAGGGGCTGAGTTTTTTTTTTTTTTTTTTTTTTTGGGGGGAAAACTGCTCCTGGGTCACACTTTTAGTTCAAAATGGCAAAAAAAACACTAAATGGCAATGTCCTCGTCGTTGAAGTTCAAAACGGCAAAAAAAAAACTTAATGGCAACATCCACGTCGTCCAAGTTCAAATCGGCAAAAAAAACATC